TCATGTGGGTATATATTAATGCTGCCCATTATGGGCACAAGCAATTTTTACCCATTTATTCATTATATGTTTTCAATTTGAGTGTTTCCTATCCCCTAAACCTCCAGGGATGTACACAGTTTAATACTGGCAACTTCTTATTATGGGAAATATGAAAACGTCTTTTAAAATTACAACTCCCAGTAGAGACGTGCCATAGATAGAGAACATGTTGCGAAACACAATAGCCAGCATGTGTAGTTCTGGGGACGGAGTGGGGGAGGGGGGTACGGGGTGGACCCGTTCAAATCCAGTTTTGGACAGTCTCGACGCTCGGCGTAACCCTCGAAGCACTCTCCAATCACAGAGCTTGAGGACTATCACGGGGTTTGTCAAGCGAAGCGGAGAAAATACTTACTTCCGGGTGTAATATTCTCTAAAGCAAATGAGCTGCTCCGCCCTTCGGTCCTGACAGACTCAAACTTGTATTTATTAATCAAACAAATAAACAAACACAAGGATAATTATGTGTTATTGTTGAGTAAATGGAGAATTGCACAGGGGAAAATAACGTATCTATGCCACAATTTTAGATGCGGATTTAGTTAAACTAATACGTTTGCGCTGTGGACCAACACTATACATTGAAGGGGAAGGGGGTAGCAATCAAGATAACACCATTAAACAGTTTCACAACATAACATAAATAATATCGATAGCAGCGTCCCTAGCAACCACCTTGGTAACAATGAAAACGTTGTATGGACACAATTTCCTGAAGTAATCTTCATAATAACTAGCAAACTAAAGATCATGTACATCCACTGCACACATCATCTGAAATAACAACTCATATTTCTCGCATCAAATGACATCAAAACGAACTTGAATGGCCAAACTAACTTTAAAATAGGCATTTTCCAACGAGAATAAAACGAAGTTCGGCATGAATGGAATGGAATTGGAATGAATGGTGAAAAAAAACGTAGGGATCCTACAATTTCAGAGGCGTTTTTTTAGAAATACTACGTCCCAAGTTGTGGACCAACGTAGTTATTACACGTTTTTTTATGAGACTGGGTTGGCCATCTCCTCCGCGTGTTGCTGCATGTAGCAGCCGAGTGTGTGTGAACTGCCCCGCCCCCTCGCACACAGACGGGAGAGGGAGATCTGGTCTAGATTGGAAAGGTCGAAAATACACCGACCATCAGTGTTGGGACTAACGCGTTACAAAGTAACCAACTTTTTTGCGGTAACTAATAGCGTTACTAGTTACCTATTCCCATTAAGTAACGCCGTTATAGTTACTATGATTTAAATGGGTGCGTTACTGCGTTACGAGGTCCCCTAGTAAGGCCACCACTTTCCCCTAACCATTGAATCAAGTACTCTTATCTGCTCCCAAGAGTACTCTTGATCTTTCCTCAAGAGTACTCTTTATCTCTCAAGTAGTTACTCTTGATCTCTCCAAGAGAAATACACTAATGATCTCTCAGAGGTACTTGATTCAGAATAATTGGAAACACCCTTTTCATTTGACGCCTACCACTGTCGCGGATAACACACGACACACACGACGCCCCACTCGACAATCGCACTGGACACACCACACACACACACACACAACACAACCACACACAAACACACACACACACACTACACACAAACAACAACAACACACACACAAACACAACAACACACACACAACACACACCACACACCAACACACACACACACGACACACAAATCGTAATCGTTTCACAAGCACGAGCAGCAACAGCGGGTAAAGGGTGGTGATTCCGTTCTGGGCGGGTTGAGACAGAGACTTTAAGCCGATGAGAGGGACTTTAACAAAATGGAGAAAAACAAACTAGGCGCAATTGGTAGTAGTGAGGGAGAGACCAGAAAGGTGAGAAAAGGTACCACGGACACTCTCCTGTAGCGACATTAAGCGCGACACATTTTAAGTGTCAGAGGGCGTCCCTCTAAGGCCGAAGTCAAGGTAGTGGTATTACATTGCGTCATTGACNATAAAGAAGACGTTTATTTTAAATGCCACACAATGATCCAGCAGCACCAGCAACAGATCCCCGAAGCTGGCCCGGCGTGAGTGCCCAGAGGAGTGAGACTGTCTCACTCCTCTGGGCACTCACGCCGGGCCAGCTTCGGGGATCTGTTGCTGGTGCTGCTGGATCATTGTGTGGCATTTAAAATAAACGTCTTCTTTATTTACAACCCTCGTCTCGCCTCCCTGCTTTTTGTTACTGCCCAGGAGCCGGGTTGTAACAGACTTTACATGGGGATTTTATTTTAATCAAGTGGCGGAAATGTGCTTTCATACTTTACTTTAGTTTAAAAATAATAACAATAAAAATACAAGTTTTTGTGTTGTTCTGCAGCACAGTAAGATAAAAGACAACTCCCCATCATTGTAGTAATTACCATTTATGAAATGTAGTGAAACAATAAAACACAAAATATATGTTTAGACATTTTGATAGGCATCTTTATTGTAGCCTCAACAATCAAGTGGACAATGCTTTCTGTCCTGCACACAGTTTACATTTGACCGTAATATTTTTTGCATCCTTTATCCCCACAAATTGAAAATAGTGATTATATTTCCAAGTTGCAAATGCGCTGCTGCTCGCATCTGCCATTGTGTGTGTGCTGGTGGTGAGCGTTGCCGTGTGTTAGCATTAGCAAGTGTTCATGTGTGTATTTTCCCCATAAGGCAAGACCCGCCCAACTCTGTCTCTGATTGGCTTACCCTGAAATGTTACCCCGCGTTAACCAATCATCACTCCTTTCTGGTTACTTTCACTTTTCCATGGTGCTGTGAGAGGACATCGCTGTATTCGCCTGTCAATTACATCCGCAGGGAGATTCGGTTCAGTACTTCGTAACGCGTTAGTCCCAACACTGCTTAAAGCAGAGTGGCAATTGTTTGGTGTAGGATGAAGATGGTGCTACAGCATACAACGATATTCAAGACAATTTTCCAATTCTGTAGCAAGAGTTTGTCGAAGGTCCTTTCCATGGACACAACAAGTTCTATTTCATTTTTGGTGTGAAAAAGACCTTGACTCAACATCATCTAACACATTTGGAAGGAAGCAGAATGCCAGGATCAGGTGAAAATCCTGGGCTGCTTTTTAAGATATTCAACACATCAAACATGGGTTTGATGTTTAAGTGTCAGCAGACGTTGTGTAGGCTACTATAGAAGTGGCTTTTCTTTTAGAAAGACATGGTCACATATTTTTGTGGTACAGGTAAAAACCTATTGAGAGTCATGGAAATATTGCATGTTTCCTTTGTTTTCACTAAGTTAAATCCATATGTTCCCTTCTGTGTACTGTTTCTAATGGATAACTACATTGCCATAGGACAGTAATGGCTTTACCTCGATACTTTGTGATTTTTCCAATTGCTGTTCCTAACCCTAACTGGACGAACTGCAAGAACACCAGAGAAAACACAACCTGCCATTCAATTTGGCAGCACTGCGGCTGCCAAATTGAATTTATTGAAATATCCAATATCAACGTAAGAGCTTGTGTCTCTGCGGGCGCGCGCCGAATATCCAAATATTCGCTGCTGATTACTACCGAATATCCGGAGCCTGAAAATGTTTATCCGGGACATCCCTAGTGCAGTGTGAGCCTAACTTACCAGAGTTGGGTTGTCCATGTTTGCCAGGCCGAGCTGACTCCCAGCCGTCCACAGACTGAACCTCCAACAGGTAGGAGCTTTTGGTCTCGCGGTCAAACACAGTCTGAGAGTAGATGAATCCCAGCTCGGGGTCAATACGGAAGTACTGGTGGTCTCCACTGCGGTCCTCCAGCAGGGAGTAGGAGATCTGTGGGAAGGGTGGGGGGAATGAGGAAGACACAATTACATATACTAACAGGCATATTAGCAACTGACCTGTTACTGAATGAAAAAGCAACATTACAACTCTAAAGACAGTATGAGTGTTTTTACCTTGCCATTGAGACCCAAGTCGAGGTCAGCGGCTGAGACCTGGAAAACCAAGGTTCCTGATTCCGCCCCTTCAGTGACTGAAGCCTCGTAGATGGAGGAAGTGAAAAATGGGACGTTGTCATTTACATCTAGAGAAGCAAAGAGGATAGAAGGAAAGAGTGCGTTTATGAACACAACAAACACTATACCAATCAATTAGTTGTGTTGTAGGTCTTGTGAATTTGATGGAAACATCATAAGTGATTCATAGGGTTTTTTAGTAGGTTGCCTGAAGCACCAGGTGATAACCTCCAACAAAGCAGCATCCTAGCAAGCAATGGTTTAGGTAAGTAAATAAATAGATAAGCTGTTAGAAATAATATGCTCAGAAGGAACATGTTGTTATATCCAAAGATCCCAAGAGCACAATCAATGACATGTATTATTTTCCAGTTCCCTGCATTATATGTACTCTGTTTAGCCACACTTGACAGCTTGTGCATATCTTTTAAGGTTTATTTCAGTTCAATAAGTGTCTTTTGCCGACTGTTATTGCCTTTGTGAATACAACACTCACTTGCCGCACAATGCACGTCGGCCTTTGGACCAGTTTCTGGGTAAAATCAATTGCAAAGAGCCTTTTTCTCTCGCTGTACTGCATTGGCTTCCATTGCAATTTAATTGACTTTCCTGTTAATGATGTTTAAAGCCCATCAAGGGATCTCTCCCACATTTATGATCTTTTGACCCTGTATTATGTAACAAGACTCTTCAGAGATTCCGACTGAACACTTTTAGAAGTTCCTACTTAAATCAAAAGGAAATTGTACTTCTATGGTTTCAAAACCAGAAAAACATCCTTCATGTGAATATTAATTTAGAACTGGAGAGAAAAACACATGTCCTGATATTATTTATGTATATGACCTTACGTTAGATTGTCCTTTTATTGGATTTTAGTTTGTTTTATTCACATGTTGCCCTTTATAACTATTGTTTGAATATATGCTCTTCTTTAGCTCACTTAGATTGTTAACAAAAAGGTAACCTTGCCTTTGTAATACTTTTCCGGAGTTGTGAATTAACAACTTGAGTATTGCAAACCGCTGAGCAGTGTTTTGGTTTCTAAACGTTTTTCAGAACCTTTTGATCTCAAACATGATTTACTGGATCAATCTTTGTTTCATCGGTACTTGACACCTCCACATCATGCAGAGATGTTTCTAGTCTTACTTAGTCAATGATGTTCTGATTACATTTCCTTTGAAATAATTTTAATTTCCTTTTCTTAAGCCTTCTTAAAGTTGACTAGGAAGACAGTAAATAAATTTAAAGAAAAATAAAGGTATCAAACATAAAGGTTCTTATTGTTGGTGAATATTGGCAGCTTTAGGGTTCTCTATGATATTACCAATCAGCATCCAGGACTGTGTTTGATTTGGAGATTCTAAGCCTGGAGCCGTTGATAGAGTGAAATCAATATCCAATCTGTTAAGACCTGCCTACTGTGGGAAGTGTAATACAAAAATAAAAAAAGCGATCAGTATTAGCACCATGGTGGCTAATTTTTGTAAATCCAAAAAGTATCTCTGAAAACTGACCTATTGACTTTTGATTTTCCAAGCCCTGTTGGGATACCCTGTTTCCAGAACCAAGATGTCAAAGTGGGTAGAACATGATCACTCACATGTATATAAGATTAGCCAGGCATAAAAGTAACACAACATTTATTATTTACGTTACTATTAATGACAACCTGTTTGTTATCATTGTGGTGGCAAAAATAACCTACTGTACTAACTGCATTTATGGTGAATCATTTATATCCCACATATATGCTAGGTTCAAAGGGAACTTCATATAATTTGTTATCGCATTCTACAATACAATAACACAAATTCCTTTTGAGTTTTTTTGCCGATTGTTATTGATTATACAGAATGTATTCAATGGCTAGTCTTACATTATCCCTGTAATACAAGACATGTTGTTTATTGACTTTTTCAATCCTTTATTTAGAGTGCTATGTTGCCATACATTGTCAATGCAAACTGTATGTATGTATGGGGAAATGCATCATGGGACGTTACTGGTGAGACTGTCAGACAGTGAATTTAAAGTGGCTTCTGCCATTATGAAATAATATAAAACACCAATGTACCACTCCAGGAGTTCTTATTGTATTGTTGTTATTTTAAGGAAAAGTATGTTGTTATTGTTGTTGCTCTGTCTTGGAAAAAGCTGTGACGTAAAGGGTGGCATGAGGTCGCTCCTCTCAGGCCCTGGACAGCGGAAAAGCAAACTGTTGTGATTTACAACTGTACCTAACACTAGGATGGGTCAAATGCAGAGAAACCATTTCATTACATAGTACCTGTACTGTGTAATGACAATAAAAGTGCAAAAAAGTAGCCCCAGCATAGAACTAAGACAGAACTCATTTATCAGAAAAAGGGTAAAACAGGCATTGGGCAATTAATAATGACACAAAATGTGCTTTTTATTTTTCCCTGAACAACAATTGGAGAGAAGCAAGGCTGTTACAGTACATTATTCGGAGGGATAAAACTGATCGTTCCAATTACCATCGAGACGACAAAATGTGAACTTTAAAGTTGCCTGAAAAGCAGAAGCCATATTCCAACAAAGTTGATGTTGGGCCAAACACTTAATAGAAATGAATAGAGCAATACATTAGCTCTAATGCTGCTCCATGTGCCATTTCTCCCTTCCATTTCTTCTGAGCAAATGTCTTAATCTATGAATTAAAATGGGAACTTAAATCCATTACAGACCTCCCTCCCTTCCTCTGCAATGCCTCTGGAGGAGTCAGAGAGCTTTCTTATTAAGACTGATAAGCGAGAGGAGGAGCAAATGAAAAGAGGAGAAGGGAAGTTAGACGAGAGACAGAGAGGCAAGAGAAGGGAGAGGGTGTGAATTCATTATTTCTCACCGGATTAAGACCGAATTAACAGAATAGGGTATGCCTGCTTGTGTGTGTGCGTGAGTGAATGCGTACAAATTGCAAAAGGATTAAATGCATGGGAGTCTGGGGCATGTAGGGTAGGCAGAGTTATTTTGAGGAGCAAGGTCAGGGAATAGCAAATACCACCATATTTAGTATCTTATGGGTCTCAGATATACATATAAAAAACATGTCTATGATGTGTTTTGCTCAAAATACCAAACATATCATGCATTTTAGACATCCCTCATATCCCTATATTCCAGCCCTGTTAGAGAAACGCTGAATCTGGGTCCTTAGCTTGAAAAAAAAAAAAAAAAGAGGAGGGGGAGCTAATGCCATATCATGTTCCAAATCACATCAAGGATTATTTCTGAAACAGTATGGAGCTCAAACTCTTTTTCTCCCTCAGGTTTACCACGAGGTGGTACACTGCTTTTGTACACATACTCTCTCCAGTAGGCCTACAGCGTTAGCTCTCAGTGTTAGCCAAATGCTTTGCTAATGTTAAACAAAGCCATATTAACTTCCACCAAAAACAGTCGGGCATTGTTTCTGATAGCAACGTTTCTGATAGGGCCGTGGGTCCACATCTCTGATATTACTTCATATCGGACGCAAATCGGGATCAGTTACGTTGTACCCCCGTTTTTTAGAGATTTGGGTACGGAGGAAAAGAAAGAGGGTTTTATTTTCTGACATTTTGTGAGTTCCCTGACACACCGGGGACACATATTCATGTATAAAAGACATAAGAAAGTGCATTTTGCATGATAGGTCCCCTTTAAGTCAAATAGACTAACACAAAACTAAAGTAATCATGCTTAGAAGTACCATAATATAACGACAGACATGATAGAGCCATGGTGAAAGCATTCGTGTTTAGCCAAAGATGAGAGATAAAGAGTTGGAAAGAGCGACTAGACTTGGATGTCCCTCTTGTGCAGAGGAGGGGGGGGGGGAGGATTGAAACATATATTTTTCAATCTTGGACTCATCTCACTTCTAACAGATGGTGACCTCTGCAGATGATTTGGATTTGTGTGGCTCTGGAATCAAAGATTTGAATGACTCCAATGGAAAATGAGAGCGAGTGAGAGAGTGCCATGATGCTGTTGACCCTTCAGATCGCTCTCCACGGCCTCAGTTGTAGAACCGCAGCAGTTTAAATAGAGCTAAAACAGTGACACTGAATAATAACACAAAGCACAACGACAATCATAGGTGTAATGTAAAGGGGTGAAATGCTGGTCCGAAATCACAGTTACAGTTAATGACAGGAGAATCAGCGTTAGATTGTAGCTCAACCATCAACAACAACAAATCATCAAACACCCAAGTTTGTCCTTCTTTCCTGTTATAGTCATACAGTAGTGCTAGTTGGTTGCTGCAGTGTGCAATTGGATATATCCAATCAACCACGTTTTGTCTTTCACAAGAACATATTCCCTAACAAAAGTTATCTCTATAATTTATATGTCCACAATAACTGGGTGTCTTTGTTTGATTTTTGTGTTTCTTCATAACACTGTCTTCTTTTTCACCTAAACTCAACATTTACGAGAGGATGTTATCAACTTGTTTTTGATTAGAGCAGTGTTTTGCCTCAGGGTGAACCTTTTAATCTCATATTTCATTCTACATTTCTCAATGGCAAGTGCTTATTAAGCAATGGTGCTATATTTTATGTTTTAATGGAAAATCATATATTTAAAAAACATATCATGTGTGAAAACTCAAATTCACAAAATGCAAAACTCTTACACATGAACACAACGATGTTAGGAGATATTTCAATGGAAGATGGGATACTAATACATAATTGAAATAATCTAATAGAGCAGTTACAATGTAAAAAGTCTCACCTGTGACATTGATATAGACCGTGGTGAAGGCCGCCAGCGGAACAGCAGCCACGTTCTGGGCCCGGACTCGCAGCATGAAGTGTCTGGTGGTCTCATAGTCCAGGGGCTCTGCAACCAGGATGGAGGCCGAACCGTCCTCTCTGTTGGGGGTCAGGTAGAAGCGAACTGGCATGTTGGTCTCTGGGACCATGCCGTCCTCCAAGTTATACGTCACCCTCGGATCCCCAAGAGGGGAGGTGGCTTTGATGGTCTGTTGGACACAAAGAAGAGGATTAAAGGTGCATTTCCAATATGATAAGGTGTCTCAATCATTTAGAGTGAATTAACACCTGGACTTCCAGAAATGGTCTAGAGTCAGTACTGGCAGCATTGTTTGGCAAGCTACATGGAAATGATAGTGAGTTCGGCTACCATTTACTTTATATTAAAAGACACTTCACTACATTAAAGCTGATCCCAGGGAAATATAGCATGCTAAGCTACAACAATGAGTTTAACTAAATGCATTATTTGTATAACAACACGTCTATAATACAAATGTATCATATAAAAAATATAAAAAATACATTAAATTAAAATTATTATCATTATGATTATTATGATTACAAAAAATCATAATAATACACCACTGTATATATGATCATTACAGTGTTTCCCACAGATCTGAAATATGCTTGGGGTGTGTGGCGAGGTGACGTGACGTGCTTTTGTGAAGTGCAACAACATTAACCTTTCGGTTGACCTTTCGGTTGGTCGCTTGTTAGCAGACCCTTCACGCGATGGCAGAGCGAACATTTACAGCGTTGGGCTAGGGTTATTACGGAATTACGGCCCCTCAATAACGCACACTTCTTTCATTGGACGATGGTATCTTTCTTTCCGTGAGTCTCACAAATACAATATTGCAAAAGCATTAGGAGATATGTCGTATTACTGATGATAGCCACCTGACTTACACTAATGCACAGTGTACACTGTAGCATATTAACATAACCAAGCAGTGTGTTTTCCCTCAGGATACATTCCTCTCCAGCCTTACCCTCTGCCAATATTCCATTAGTTAGACTCAAGGTTGTGTGTATGTTGTCCCTTTAGAAGAGAAATGGATGATTTGATGTCAGTGTCATAGTGCTTTTGTCTGCGCATGCTGTGGAGTCCCTTAGCAGTCCTTAGCTTTTTTTATTCAGGGTGCAGGAGGGGTCGTTTCTTGATTTTAACCCTTGATTTGTGATTACAAGTCAATGCATAACCTATCCCATCTCCTGAGAGTTTTGTAAATCTAGGATTGCCATCTGGACACAGCAAGCAAAACCAATTCCTGGGAAATGTAGCTTGTGAGGATGCTACCTCTGTACTCTGTAAGCTATTTGATTAACAAAACAACAACATTAATAGTGATAACTCTGGTTACAAATGTAGCTACTATCCCACACAGAGTACTTGTCTGAGTGAAAAGTCTACCAGTTGTTGACAGATGAGACGATACAACATTACGCCACCCTGACTCCTTGGGAGTTTGTTATTTTACCCAATAAACGGAAAAAAAGGTAGGACCAAAATATAAAGTCTGTGTCAGCAACAGATTGTCCAAGCAACATATTGTCATGCACCTACACATATACTGTATAGTTATCTTTTCCTTACTTTAGGTTTAAATTGAGTCCCCAAGGCCAGTATTTTGAATTTCACATGATTTTGAATGTGTCAAATTCCCAAATAAATGGAATTACAGCTATGATTGTGACACTATAACCACCAGGGTTTTCCAACATGTAAACTTTGCGTGCTATTATAATGCCTTGGGGTACAAAGTGGTGGAACAAGTACTCTACTAGACTTAATTTCAAGTAAAAGTCCTGCATTGAAATGTTACTGAAGCAGAAGTAAAGGAGTATTACCAGTTATGTACTTATTTATCAGTAGTAAAAGTACTTGCTATGCAGAATGGCACTTTTCACAGTATCATACTATTAAATAATATAATGTAATCCTATGTTTTACACTAGCAAATACATGTAAGGGCATTTTAGTTTGTGTGGAGTTAAAAGTACAATATTTGGCTCTGAAAGAGTAAAAGTATAAAGAAGCATAAAATGGAATTATTTAAAGGTGGGGTAGGTAAGTTTGAGAAACCGGCTCGAGATGCACTTTTTGTTATATTCCATGGAATGCTCTTAACATCCCGATAGCAATGAATATCTTAAGTGCTTTGGCAAAAAATCTATAACAAAATGTCATCTGTGGAAGTCGTAGCACTGTAAAAAGCACGACCAATAATTTTAGCCGTCCCGGCTAAAATAACTGGATGGCATACCTGCCTGTCTGCCTTCCATCTGTGCACAAACTTATCTCGTGCCCTCATTGGTCATGTGTGCGTTTGTGTGTGTTGGAGGGGGGGCTCTGTAAGGAAGTGGCAGATTTTTTCCGGCTGTGTATTTTCAAATTCTAGCGCACTCGAGCTGGTTTCTCCAAAATGACATACCCCACCTTTAAGTAAAGTATGTCAAAATGGTACTTAAGTACAATACTCGAGGAAAATGTACTTAGTTACATCACCACTGGTTCTGAAACCTCCCCACCATCAGACTCTCATTTACTCAATGCTTTCACCAAGTCTATTGCCTGATGTACATCAATCTCTTAAACTTGCCATACTAAAGGTTAGCTTATGACCCAGATTTATAAAGACAGCACTTGACTAAGTTATTGCAACATTAAACATTTAGGAGCATAATTGATGGTGAGAATATGCCTTCTCTATAGGGGTCACATTTACCTGCTAGTGCCTATATGTATAAATGGCATTTGTATAAGTCTTGGCAACTTTTGAGTAAAATGGGGTGCTACATACTAGCCCTTTTGGGAAAAATCACATCCTGGGATTCTTGAATATTTTATTAAAACAAAGTGAGAATAAAAAAGCCGCCACGGGTAAATGTTAAAAGTTGGAGGTTCTAGTGCTAAGAGGACAGCTGCTGCTGAGCTTCAAGGGAAGTGCGCATTTTAAAGAGTGGGAAATGATCTGCCCAATGGAGAAAAAAGCCTTTTTTAGCCCATGATAATGAACGCTAAAATATTAAGGCAGTAAGATTCAAACAGTTTTAGACTGACTAGACAACAGTCCGCTAAAGTCCTGAGGGATCAAAGGGAAATATACTTCATTCTCCATTCCCAAATTAAGCAAAGGCCATTCACAGCTGATGCCAAATGCACCCCAATTAAAATCAAAAACGCCATCTCCGACGTGCTGCTGCTTGCCTATGGGCGACCCAGCTGTATGTATTCAACCTGCAAAGCACAGCAGTTACAATAATGAGACTCCATATCAGGGAGGCAGAATTGGCATGCCTGATGACTGTATGTGCTGATTTAGGGCCATAAAAACCCATTTTTTCCAAGGTAGAGCTGATACAACCCACTGAGAGAGGTTACATCAGTGCATATGAGCCAAATCAACAATACCATCTCCATTAATACACTGAACTGCAGGGATCACAAACTCTCTCGCATCTTAGCAGCAGAGCTCACAGACACATTAACATTTTCAAATGGATACTGCTCTCCTCTGTCTTTTCATTTCCATCTCTTGGATACACATATTCAATGGCAACTTGAAAGGGCTTAATTGCTTTTCAAGAGATTGTGAGAAAATAATGTCTATCACTATGAATAATCAAATGCACTGAACAAGATACATTGCGCTAATAATGTGGGATAAAATATAAAAACAAAGAAAACTATTAAAAGAAATAAGGGGTGTGATATATTTATTTTAATGTCACCTTATATATATTCGTGTGTGTTAAATTTGAAGGGACAAAGTACATTTTTCCTCTTTTAAATATAGCGCAATAGTCTTTTCTTCCACTTTTATGTGTAATCAAAAGGGTGGTTTTTTGGCTATCTGTGGTTAGGCATAATACAAATGACCTTTGACATCTGCTTTGCAGTTCCCAGAATATCAGGAGAGTGTTAGGGTCTCTCTGTTAATCATCCACGTTTTTTGCAATTAACAGGGGAATTCCCAGATACATTTTCAGATATAAGGCAGTTAAAGTCTTGTAGAATTAATGATTTATCTCCTACAGACCCCAAAAGAGGCCTTGAGAATTGAGTCAAACAGTTACC